CTGGTGAGACCATCAAGAAAAAAGCCGGGTGGGGGGGGGGGGGGGAGAGGAGGGGAAGGGTCTGGGGACCTCCCAGCTCAAAGCAAAAGGCCGACACACAGCTATGCCTGAGAGCGCCAGGTGTGGAGGGAGACTTCTCCTCTCTTGGGTCACCTCCTGGTGCTCAGAGGAAGGCAGGCTCTCCTTAGCAAGAAGCCAGTCCTCATGGAGGTGCTTGCCAACCGACCAACCAGGGCACCCTGACCAGGCCAGGGGACCAGCGGCCACCCCTTTCACAAAGTTCCCTTTTGGTGACCCTGGTCTTCTTCCCCCCACCCCCCCAGCACCCATCCAGGTGCAATCCTCCTCCCTCCTCCTCTTTCCCCCGTCAAGCCAGAGGCATCATCCCCCCCTTCCCCTTTCCTCTGGAGATTTCCTTGAAGTACATCCAAGAGAGGAGAGGAGCTCAAAGGAGCCCCCCCCCAGAGAAAAACACAGGCACGCAGAGGGACTCCCTCACTTTCAGAGGCAAATCTGCACCCCTTCCAGCAGCACTTTTTCTTCCATAATGATGATAATGGTAATACAGTAATAATAATAATAATACAATACAAATAATACTAATAATACTAATACTAATAGTAATAATAATTCACCCCATCACTGGGGTTCCTGGAGTCCAAAGGTAAAGAACAGCTGCTTAGAAGTGGCCTTCGACCCCTTCAGAGACTGGGCACGTCCGTCAGTGGCGACTTCAGAGCTTGGGCAACGAGCCCCCCACCGAGGGCCACAGACACACCGTGGCCCCATCAGCCAGCGCCAGACCTCCCCGGGGCTTGCAACAGGACAGAGGTCATCGCCTGCTGCCTCCTGGGCAGGCTGAGCTACAAGGGCCATCATCCCCATCACCTTCCCCCTCCCAGCCCATCTGCCTTTCCCTTCCTCTTCCCTGCCAATCCCCATGTTTCTTGGGGGTGGGGGAAGATCTAGAGCAGGAGCTCGCCCCCTCCCCAAACTCAATCTATCCTGGGCTTCATGGTCGTGGCGCCCCCCCCCCAACATACTGAATCTTGAGGCTGACTCATTCTGCCCCATCACCTTGCATTCTCCAGCCCAAAAAGCCAAAGGTGCCTCTTCTCCTCGGGGGGGGGGGGGCTTTTCCTCAACCCTCCTGTTGCCAGACTGACCCACCCAGAAAGAAGCAGGGAGGTGCCCAACATGGGGGGGGGGAACGACACACCGAGGTGCAGGGAGGGGAACTCCAGTCACAGGACTGGCTGTCCAGTCCCACCACTGGTGGCTGGTTCTCCCCCCCCACTGCCAAATGACCCAGACTCGACTAAGGACTGGGAACCCATCCTCTTTCCTCTGGGGGGGGGGGAAGCTGGGACCGAAGACTCAAGACCCGGACCTGGGGCTCAGACTTGCCAACCTCCCTGTCGGGGAAGTGGGTGTATGTCGCGAGTACCAGCCCTCTCCTTC